TAGAGGTGATAGGTTTGTAGTAAGAGGCCTTTTTGGAAAGTCAGTGTGAATAATGGACAAATGTACAAACAGCTGCCCGAACGAAATAAGCCGTTAAGTGTGTGTGTCTTTGCGTGTTGTGTGTGGCTTTACCACCCAAAGACTAGTCATCGTATGTGGTTTGTGTTTCGTCCAGAATTTTTTATGTGTTGTGTGTGTGAGGTGTGTGGTGTGTGGTGGTGGTGTGTGTGTCGGTGTGGTGGTGTGTGTGTGTGGTGTGGTGTGTTTGTGTGTGTGTGTGTGTGTGTGTGTGTGTGTGGTGTGGGTGTGTGTGTGTGTGTGTGTGTGTGTCGTGTGTGTCGACGTCACGTACGGCAAACCGGCCACTCACTTTAAAGTAAGGATCGAGGGTAGGAAGTAGATGCTACGTAAGGGGTGGAACGAGTATCACAACGAAACACACATCATACACACACACACACAATCATACACACACACACACACACACACACACACACACACACACAACACAAGCGAGGAGGCCAGAGGGGTTCCCGAAAAGCGACCAGTGAAGGACAAACAACTGTACGTAACGCAAACACCGCTGCGAGACCCGCGCCGAGAGTCACGGGAGACGACACACACACGTCGTACACACACACACACACACACACACACACACACTACAACAACCACACACACACACACACACACACAACACACACACACACACAACAGTACGAGCGTCGGAACTCGCCCGAACTCACGGCCCTCGACCGGAACAATTACCTTGAAGTTAAGTGAGCCGTACTAATTTCTCCGGAAACTTGTGCCAGCTATACCGCACTGTGTGTCGTGTAGCGAGTCCTGTGTGTTGTGAGTTGGGTGGTGGGGACGGACACCAGGGGAACGATCCCCAAACCCGACCCATCCCTTCCCGCCCACTCCCATAAGTCACGAGCCCGACGGGGGGGGGGGGGGGAGAGAGAAGGGTCCTCGGTGTCACGCCGATTAACTGCGTCTTACCGCTACGCCTCCCGACTAGACTAGAGTCAGCAGGCGTGGCGAAAAGTGCATGAGCGGTCCGGCTGGCTAGAGGGCGACTAAAGGTGGGCGTCGTCGTCGGGGACTGCACATGACATACATGGAGTTAATAATGGCAGGGGGAGGCACAGGTACTGTAGTCGGACTCGTCTCTCCTTGGTAGTTGAGGACTAGAAAAAACGAAAAAACTCCTACTGTGTGGTGTCTACGTTCACGTATACATATTCGCAGGTCCACAACTTCGATGAAACGTAATTAAAATAATATATATTATTTCTTCGTCAAGTAGAAAAATGTTCCTGACAAGAATAAATTCTCCCATTGATTTTCAAACCTTACGGTTCAATTGACGTTAGGTTATGCTTCAGTGACAAAGTCACAACCTGCACTTATAACGAACAAACGTGTACACTCACTCTCAGTTCAAAAGTTTAAGTTTTATACTCAAACAGGTTTTGCAATGAAGAAACAGAACTCACACACGACGGTTAAACTTCAAAGAGAAAAAAAACAAACATATTTTTCTATTTACAGAAATAATATCTATCGTCTCCTCTCGTCCACTCGATTAACACCGACAGTTCGTCTACTCCGCTCATGTCGTCTGTCTTCTCTCCTCATCGTCACTGTCGTAGAGAAGGGACAAGTAAACGTATTGGCGGAAACAAATGCGGCGCACCGGCCGTCGGTTCGTGGTTGCTTCCTGCCTTCAATGATTTTTTGTTTTTTCCTACCAGGAAAGGTCCTTTTTAGAAGTGTCTTATGTTACTATTGTAATATGATAAGTTTTTTTTTGTAGTAAATGAGAGCGCATTTGTTGGCAAGACGACGAGAAGTCTCCTCCCTATTGTTAAGCCTCTTTTGTTGGTCGCACGAATACTCGAAACAATAATAGGCTGTACTTGTCATTAACGTCCCCTAAAAACTCTGCCTTCTGTCTTCTTACCAAATACTTGTAACTTTCGAGGAAGGTTTAACACTTAAAACGACACACAAAAAAAGACAGACGGCAACATTTATGACCGGCCTCTGAAAACAATATAGGTTACCATAACGCCATTTAAAGGGCCATACAAGATGGTACGTCAAGTACGGTAATACGGAAATAAATTAACCTTAATTAAATTAGGTATGTATTACTTATCTCCTTATGCAAAAAAAAAAAGGCTGCGTCAATAAACTTACCAAGTAGAAATATAAACTGATAAATATCGCCACAAATAACGTAGAACTAACAGTCGTAGCGATTTTTTGAAAACGCCCCGTTTTCTGGAACCGTACAGGGTCAGACCGTATTCGAAGTGTTTACAGGGAGATAGATATAAAAGGAAGAGTAGAGTGAAAAAAGGTGACTCGCTCTCGGCCGCACTAGGAGCTATCTGCCTTACAAAAAGGGAAAGAGGTGCTACGTGACCTCCCCCTGTCCGCAGAGACCCGGACAGTCCTCCGACAATCGCGAAAGAGGGTACCCCCCTCCCTCACCCTCGACTGCATCATCAACAGGGAGAGAGAGAGAGACAGTGTGTTTGTCCGGCCCGTGATACCGAGAAGAAGGTCTCGAAAAATCGGCGGCAGAAGAAAAACGAACCACGAAAGCTCATAAGTAAATAAGTACAACAGGGAAAGAAAGGAAAAAGGGGGGAGGAGAGAAATGAAGAAGAAAAGAAAGATACGGGGGGAGGGGGGTGGAACTAGGAAGGCACAAGAGAGACAGAGTAGATGACAGACAGACGTCGTCAACAAACGTCGAGTCGACCGTACGTCCAAAGGGCCCCCGGTTCGTCGTCGCCTCCGTCGGACGGGGTTCCGTCAATACCGTGCGGGAGGGGGGGGTGGGTGTGTGATGTCTTCCGCTGTTCCGCCATTTAGGGCGATGCTGTTTTCCATTCCTCTTTAGCGTCTCTCACACACACACACGCACACGCACACGCCACACACACACACACACACACACACCGGGACACACACCAACACACACACACACACCACACACACACACACACACACACACACACACACACACAACACACCACACAAATAAGTATCTTTCAGTTACTAACCACGTAAGAACCGAGTGTTCGACCCACAGGTATAAATCAGTCTAATACAACTATAGTTTTTCTGTAAGGGGTCCATCTTTGACTGAACTTTCTCGATATCCGATTGTAAAAATAAATTATCTTTAATGGTAATTTGTCCGCGTTTAAAAACAGCTCTCTAAACTGAACAGTATAAGAAATTAAAACCTATACTTCTCGTGTAAAGAGTGCTTGAGATAGGCCAAGAATGTCTTTCCGGACATATTTTCCCATATAACTCGGTTCTTTAAAAAAAAAAAAAAGGAAAGCAAAGCTGAGACATTCTTTTCTCCAGCGGGGAGGAGGGCAGGAGGGATTAAATAATTATTTCAGGACTGTGTATTCTAGGAGATGGGTCCTTTCTCCTCGCTCCCAGACAAACATGAGCTGGGTGGATATTTATGCTCCTCCTGGGGGTCGCTGTAACAAAAGGGAGACGGACGGAGGAAAACAAACATGTTGCTCTTGGCTCGGGGACAGCGACCTCGGCGGACAAAGATGACATTTCTCACTGAGAAACATGCGAAGGAGGGAGGTCGATTAAGGCATCAATATTCCTGTGGTGTCAATTTGTGAACAAAAATGTTCTACATTTTAAAAAGCTTTTCTTCAAAAATTGAGAGTGGGGGGGTTATATTTTCTGTTGTTTTTTTTTTAATCTTAATTAAGCAACTGAAACCAGCTCAAAATTAGCTTTTTAAGAAAATTATAAAAATATCATACCTGATAATGCAGTGTTGTTTTTATATTCAAACTGAATTGTAAGTCCACGCAAAGGTTAAAAAGTTATCTTTATCTTTGATATCAACAGCTTGGACGGTAGATAAATTGTGCCACTGTTCAACAAGGGTTTATAAGAGTGCCAAGAAATCCATAACGTGTGGATAAAATCTATTCCTATCTTCAAAGCTATGAGGAGCTGTGAGAATATGTCAGATCACAATGCTACACATGTCCTATTTAGAGTGGCAGCACCAAACTACAGCAACTCACAACAAGTTTGAAAGTTGCCAGAGAGTTTTCTCAGGGGCGGCTCAGCCTGGCGCCGAGTGCCAGTCCGGTTGGAGTTGGCGGAGGCAGTGAAAAGACAAGCCCACCACTTGATAGGGTATTTACGTGGGCAGTGGGCGTGGGTGAAGATGGCACTAATTAAAATGGAGTGGACTTGTTTGGGAAGCTGTGAAACTCTAAGGGGGTGGGGGGGGGACTGAGCGTGCACGCGCTCATGTGCACGCTCTCAGATCAGTGTGGAAGTCTTTTTTTTGTGTTGCGATATCACAAAGCTTTCTCTGGCTGCCGGTACGTTTGTGTGTTAGTGTGTGTGGGCTGTGTTGGAAACATGTTCTGGCTGCTTCCCTTGTTAATGTGAGGAGAAAAAGCCGCCTGGGGCAGGTCACATTTTACACTACCCCCGCGCCTCTGCAACCCCTCACCCTCTGCTAACCCCCACCGTGCATTTATTCCAGCATCCCCTGGCAAGCTCCCACCTCTCTGTCTCTGCCTCTCTCTCTCTATCATGGTAAACAACACATTGCCACACAGCCGGAGCGTGATGGCCAAATAATAATAAAAAAAAAACATGTCCTGCAGGACGCCTGCATTTTGTTGCTTTTATTCGTCAAAAAATAGACAAGACAAAAGGATGGAGCCAAGAGGACTGAGCGAGAGAGGGAGGGAGAAATTGAGAGTGTAAACAGGAAGGGTGTATTTGGACTGGTTTTTCTATTAAGAGGGAGAGATGTTGTTGTAGGGGCGAGCTCGTCTTTTGGGAAACAGTCCCACTCCTTGTGTGGGAAAACGGTCAGACTCTACCTTGCTTTGGTGAAAAGCATTTGAAACATCACACATAAAAAAGTACTTTTACACCTATTCATGCCGGTACGTGAGGAAGCTACTCACTGCAGCCAGGCTTGTAGTTGAAGCCAGGGGGCATCAGGAAGCCCTGCTGGGCCGCCGCTGCCGCCAGGGTCCTCTGGTCCTCTGGTCCGGGGGGAAGACGGGAATCATCAGCGGGGGGAGCTGACCCTGGACCTGCTGATGGAGGAGGGGGAGGAGAGGGGGGTGGGGAGAGGGTAGAGACGAAGAGAGGAGGTAGTGGGGAGAAAAGAGGAAATAAACATCAGCACCTTTCGCATCTCTTTAAGTCTAATTACATTAACATGCATTGAATGTGCATTTATGTGTGTAACTGACCCCAGAACAGATGTCTTTGCCATAGTGGAGACAGTTATATCTACATTACATCATAATCATTTCACACAATCATATGCATTCAGGCTCATATACATAAATTAATGACATACATATGGAACACACATATGACATCAGTCTGTAAAGACACTAATGAACCCACCCCCTCACACACACACACACACACACACACACACACACACACACACACACACACACACACACACACACACACACACACACACACACACACACATACAGTCCTAAGCACTCTATCTTCTAGATTCAAAGACAGAAAGCAAGTTATGGGAACAGTTCAATAAACTCGCACAACAGCTGGCCTTTCCCTTTTCATTTGGAAGATGATGTTCTCTCCCTTCTCCCCACATCAACCCCCTCAACTACCCAAACACACAGTAACACACAACCCTCTCTGCGCGGCCGTCGGCAGAGAGCCATACGACTTCACAAGGTTTCCAGGATTTTAAAAGGAGACGCAGAAAAAAGCTCCTCCGATGGGTGGCTTTGGCAGGGACGACAGGAGAGGGAGAGAAGGAGAGACAGAAAGAGAGAGAAGTAGGAGACAGATGGTTGCACTAAACAGCGTTCTGCCAAAAACAACGCACAAAGACTTGCGTGTGATGGACTGACTGACAGTTTGAGAGGAGAGATGGGAGAAGATGAGGAGAGGAAGTGGGGAGGAGAGAAGGAGAGGAATAAGGTGAGACGAGGAGGAAAATAAGGAATCTTATCGAGCTGTAAGGCTGAGGTGTAATGCTGGAATGATGTAGAGAGAACAAGGAGCCCAAGCCAAATTGTGTGCACATTCCCCTAAAAGTCAGTATAAGCAGTTATTGTGCTTCCTATTCCAATACTCAACAGAGCTCCAATAACTGTTAACGCTATAGGTACACTATCTCAGATATGTTATTTGTTATTAACGTAGTTGAAACATACAATGTGGGGTTTTCATTGGCTACTAGTCTGCTTTTGAGTCTTTGGGCATGGCAGCAATACAACAATGCTACGCCTACACTACTGAAATAGGATGAAGAAGAAGAAGAAGAATATAATCCAAAATAAATCACTTATCCATCACAACACTCTTTTTATCTATACTTATATTATTTATTCAACACCCCAGGCAAACAGTTTTTTCCCTCCATTTGAGATCATATGAGCAAATAAAAAAAAAATGCAGGTGTACAGGTGTATTGCAAACTTACTTTAGACAAAAGGCTTATCAGTTCAAAGGTGGCTTGTGTGTTTCGTATGTCCTGAAACACAAGTAAAACTCTTTGAAATATACGTTGACATCGTCCTTAGTGCATTTGTTCTCTATTGATTATATACCAGAGAAGGCTCCTCCAGAATACTTTATCCAATTGTTTTCAAACTCCATCTGACGTGTAAACTGCTTGTTTGGTTGGGTGCCCCTTTAGATCAAATCCCTGATGGGGTCTTCAGGCCTTTGACCTGTATTCCTGCATAGAACTTTGTTCCCTCCTTACAACTCATCGCCTCTCTCCTGCTCTCCCTGCCTCTCTTATTTTGCCTGGAGGGCAGAGTGGCTGAATAGGATAATGGGCAGGTAAAAGCAGTTGGATGTGAGAAAATTGATCTGGAATGATGGAAATGGCTGCACAATCATAAGGACGTGGTGGTTTCCGCGGTAATATCAGGTAATATCTCTGTGATATGGACACTTGAAGCGCTTGAGACAGGTAAATAGAGAGCGGCTGTCTCAGTGTTAACAGCGCTCCTAGCTTCCCCGTGTGTGTATACTCAAGTTTCCCTGGGCGTACGCAGGCCTGTGTACTGTAAATACCTATGTGTGTGTTTCTGTGTGAGGGGTCTCCTCTGCCCCTCCTCCTGTGTGTCGGCATGCGGCAGCCAGCAGCACTGTAATCAAACTATCACAGCGCAGGGGAATACAGCTCTCTTCAAGCGGCTCCTGTTTCCCCCTTACACCAAAAACAATAATTACTCCACCATTTTGGTTAACCATAAACCGCCGTGCCGCGCGATCAGAAGGGAGAGGCGTTCCAGCGCGACGCTCGGACAGGACCCCCGCCGGGACAAATCACAGACAGAACAGTTCCGCTTTGCCTTTCAGGCCTAATTGGACATATGCTGGAGTGGAGCTGGCTAGCAATACTGTAATGTACCGTAGGGAGGAGGAAAAGAGAGGAGAAGGGGAGGAGAGGAGAGGAGAAAAAAGGAGATAAGAGGAAAGGAGAGGAGAAAGGGGAGGAAAGGAGAGGAGAAACAAGGAGATAAGAGGAAAGGAGAGGAGAGGAGAAAGGGGAGGGAAAGAAAGGAAAGGAGAAACAAGGAGATAAGAGGAAAGGAGAGGAGAGGAAACGACTAAACCTTTTCGCGAGGGGGGGGAGCGAGAAGACTGATCAGGGTGAAAGTTTCAAATGTGATACTAATCTCCGATTGTTGTCTTGGGCATCTAAGGTGAAATTGCATAACGTAATAACATATAGGTATATATCAACTAAACGTAAAACATCTACATATCCTTACATTTACACATCCTTACGTGTTTCCCCTGCGAGGCTAATGACTAATTAGTACTAGAGAACCTGTTTGGGGGGAGTGGGTTTGTGCTTTGTGTGTTGTGTGTGTGTGTGTGTGTGTGTGTGGTGTGTGTGTGAAGTCTGTCGGAAACTCACGGAACAAGAGTGAAATTACGTAGAAGCAACGAATGACGGAGCGCTACACACCACCCACACACACACCCAACACACACACACACACACACACACACACACACACACACACCAGTACACACAACACACACCTACACACAACGACCACACAGACACAACACCTGACACGCACACACACACACCACCCTGGCACAGCAAAACAAGAGGAACACCCGGTCCACACACACACACACACACACACACACACACACGTCACGGGTACCATCCCGAGCACCCAGACGGTAGTCTAGTTGTCCGACAATGTGTGTATAGGTTGAGTCTGATAATATTCTCCGCGGTCATACCCTCCTTACTAGGAGGTATTTGGTAACCGAGACAGAAAAAGGACACATAAAGTCACAACAACAGAAGGAGGAAACACAGAAAGAGAGAAGAATAGGGTAACACTCCTGCGTGTACATAACCACGTTTGTCAAGACATCCGACTAATATAGAAGCCGATAACACGCGTCGGAAAAAAAACTTCTTATATTTTTCTCCGTATATATCTCTCCTCTTCGGTAGACGCGCGTCCATATACACGGTCACACACAGATACATGTCATACATAACTTAAGTGTCGACGGTCTGAGAATAGGAGAAAGAGAGGAAAGGAGCGAGCGAGCGGGAAGAAAGGGGTTCAGTAGAGGCGAATTCGAGTGAATAGAAAGGAGAGAGTAGATAAGAAGAGGAGAGGCAGTGGAGAGAGAGAATAAGAAAATAACGGTGACGCAGGGAGAGTCGAGGCAAAGGAGAGGAGAAAATAGAAGAGGAGAGTAAAGGAGTACAGGAAAGAGGAATAAAGGTGAGGAAAGAAGAGGAGGAGTTGAGGAAAGGAAAGGTAATAGAGGAAAAAAGAGGAGAGGAAA